AAAAAAAAATCCAAAAATAAATACCCCTCCAAAAAGAACCATTCATCGTGCAGTTGGTGGTTTAGATTCATACATACACATGTCTTGAATCTGAAACACATCATGGCATGGAATTGATGATCTGATTACCCATGGGCAAGATCACCTTCACAGCTCTGGCGACATGGCAGCAGCATGACTGCACATAAGTCATGGGCAAAACAAGGCCAAACACCTCTTCCACCAGCGTCTCACCAGGGTCTTGTCATTCACTTAAACTGACGCGAAATTCGCATGGATGATGCCACTCGAAGTCACGACTCGTACTTACGCAAATGTCAACATAATCTTTAAGCAAACGCAAAATCACAATTTGTTTAACAAATTATTGCATATGTTTGCCGCTAGCTCCATGTGAGTGCCGGCCACTGGCTGAGGCAGGAGCTTAAACAAAACAGAAAGGGAGCTCTCAGCGGCGCGTTTTTGAATAGTGTGCTCCGACATCTTGTGTGACATTGCGTCAGATTTCTCTCTTATGAACTCACCGCTGTCTCACTCATTGTTTTATCAGCCTCCCTGCTTTGTCTCACCCCCTATTCCCCTCTCGGTCTGTGCAGAATTGTGTTCTTATTTTTTGTTGGAAATGTCCCTGGAAATGCAATTTCTATGAGTCATAAGTTGTGATTTTCTAAATGGCCAGAGAGGAGAGTGATGGATTAGGAAAGAGTAAAATTGCACGCTGATGATTACTAGGTGTTTGTTTTACTTACTTGTGCTTAGTACGCTTAAAATATTTTCCCCAAACAGTTTACTGTTGGGGTTCTATGTTAGATAGAAAAGAGCTGGCCACACTCACTGGCCGCGCCCCTGAACTCCCCTGAACTCTGTCAACTCTGTGGCTGGGCTCTGTGGCTGGGCTTTGTGGCTGGGCCTTGTCCTCCTTTTGGCCGCGCCCCTGAACTCGGTGCTCATGCCTGTGGAGTGGCTTTGCGCGTTCAGGCTTAGTTCGGACTGGCCTGAGGGTTCGCAAGGAGTGCGGGTTATCTTGAACTTGCTCGAGTGCAATGCAGTTCTGGCCTTGGAAAACAGTCAGCGTCTGGTCACAATCATTTCACACAATTGCAATGGCAGAAGAGCCTGTGGCCTGTGGTGGGCGTTCGCCGATGCAGGGCATTGCTTGCAAGCGCCAGCAGGCGCCTGACGAAACCTCCCTCAACAGAGGGAGGAGTCGCGCACGTTTCCAGCAAGCTCCTTCGCAGCTAGGCCCACGGGAGTGCGGGAAGTGCGCGAGTTGCTATCCAGAAAGGATAGAGTTGCCATTCATCAGTCAATCGCCTCCTTCACGCATGGCCGTTGTGAAACATTGTGAAACGTGAAAAGGCTGGCATGGTGTCATATGCCCGCTTTGCACAAGATTGGCAGGGTGCGGACCCGCACCAGGCCAACCGGGCCAGCTCACTACAAGTGTTGGCATGTTGGCAGGAATCATTTCTGACTCAGAACGGCTATCTTCTCTTCCATTGAGGCTGGAGAGGGCAGTCGAATTGCTTTACTTTCAGCACTGTCCACTGCGGAGAAATTAGGGTTCAGTTTCGTGCACTGTACCAGGCTCGATGATGTCCGTCTTCCATACACAGTGCACACAATCCATCCGAAGGCCTTTATGGACTGCGCCGCATTGCAAGAACTTGGCATCCCACCCTCACTGCCTTGTCCCCCAGTTCCCTGTCCCAAGTCCTGTCCCCAGTTTGATGCCCCCAGTTCCCTGCCCCCAATTCCTGTCCTCCCTCGCTCCTTCCCTCGCTCCCTCCCTCTCTCTCTCTCTCTCTCTCTTTTCTTTCTCTGTCTTTCTCGCTGTGGCTCACATTAGTCGCCATATAGGCGTCTGTCTCCCGCATGGCTCTGCCTGTCCTAACTGGCCCTGACCGATGCGAGCTCATCTAGCCGGAAGAGACAGCCATTGATTGAACTCTCACTGCGGGTGAGCCTCCCTCTGGTTGAGCTGCTCCAGGCTCACAGTTTTTTTGCATGAGTGGAGACGCCATGTGTGCGGAATGCACAGGTCATCTTTCTAGAGGTGGAAACTCTGCATGTTTAAAGAGGGAGGACCAGACCGGAAAAAACAACAAACCAAAACCAAGCGCAAACAAAACACCAACAAAAGCCCCCAAGCAGAAACCTGCAGAGTTTCTCTCTGTACATCAGGGTGACACATGGTGAAACAAGGGAACTGCTGTGACTATCTACCCTGGCCTTGAACTCGTGAAAAAGCTGTCAACTCTGTGGCTGGGCTCGGGCCTTGTCCGCTCTTGTCCCGCTTGTCCTCCTCTTGGCCGCGCCCCCAAACTCTGGGGCTGGATCTGTGGCCTTCCTCCCAGCTCCTCTTGGCCGTGCCCCTGAACTCTGTCAACTCTGTGGCTGGGCTCTGTGGCTGGGCCTTGTGCTCCTCTTGTCCTCCTCTTAGCCGCGCCCCTGAACTCTGCCAACTCCAGGGCTGGGCTCTGTGTCCAGGCCTTGTCCTCCTCTTGTCACACTTGCTCCTCTTTGCCTCGCCGGGCTCTGTCCAGGTTCTGTCAACTCTCTGGCTGCACTGTGTCCAGGCCTTGTCCTCCTCTTGGCCGCGCCTCCTGGGCTCTGTGGCTGAGCTCTGCGTTCCTCGTCTTGCACCCCTGAGCTCTGCTGTGTCCAGGCCTTGTCCTCCATCAAATCTGTCTCTTGTCCTCCTCTTGGCCGCGCCCCTGAACTCTGTCAACTCTGTCGCTGGGCTCTGTGTCCAGGCCTTGTCCTTCTCTTGTCCTCCTCTTGGGAATACTGCGTAGTTTTTAAGGATTGCAGCGAAGTTCTGCCCTCGCAGGAACTCCTGGAAGGGTATCCTATCCACAAAGTTCCGCTTGCTGTCCATGTCCCCACGAATCCAGAGGGCGCAGTCCCCGAAGGGGCGTTCGCAGGAGTGCCACGCCTACGTCGTCATGTCAGCATAGAGTCAGGCATTAGACTTATCGGCCCAGAAGCGTGGCACTCATGCCGACAGCTCCGAATTGTCAAACTGCCGTCAACAGTCGTCAGCATTTCTGACAACGCATTTCGAAGCTGTACACTGCTCAACAGTGTCACTGCCCCTGGTTGCCGAGAGTTTGGCTACAAAGCTTTTGATGAGTGCTGTTCACTGCAATGGGTTTATACCGCTGAAGGAATTGCCACCAGTTAAACAGCTCCACCAAGTCTGGGCACTACCTCTTTCGAGGCTGCATCAACCTTGCCGAATTTACCCTGCGAGACAGTCCCTTCCCAAGCCAGCTGCCGTCACAATCCACTGCCAGCGACTTGGCTCTAGGGTGCCTCAGCTCTACAGGGACAGCCACATTAACTAACGCAGGGTTTCCGCACTATTTATCCGGCAAATTTAAGGGCTCAAGCTGGTGACTTGCAAGAGTGAGCATGCCAGCTGGTGCGCCTAGGCCCAGCCCTCGCTGCAGTGAAGAAGGGATGGTGGCACAGACCTGCACCTTCCTTACACTGGCAGGAGAGAACCTGCCCATCGAGGAAGATCCTAATGCACATACCGGCTTTCGGGGTTTTGAAAATGCCGTATTAGCAGAACTCCCCTATTTGGGATGCAGTAGCACCCTTGGGTGTGAGTTGCAATTTGTGCAAATAGACACCGACCAAGTTCTAGCAGACCCCATACAGAGTAAACTGAGAGCCAACCATTGCTACTATGTGATTGCTCGGCCATGTTTTGTGGAAGCAGCACACAAAGGGCAACTCAAAGGGGAAGCCA